ATGGATATTGATGATATTTCTGATATAAACAGACTGTGATTGTGCTGTTTGGTGACCTTGGGCCAATGTGAACTCTTGGTTTGGACGGATAGCTTGAGATGTAAGCTTTCGTGTCCTCGGATTGATATGTTGCTTGTTCCCCCGACCTCCATAGGAGGGTGGTTTATATGCATGTATGCTTTTATGAAAATGATATATGCATTGATATATGACTGAGACATGTGGATATAGCTGTTGAAGTAATGTATGAATGTGATGTTAGTACTTGTACGATCAGGAAGCAACCCTGGTGTGCAAGGCATGAGGCAGCATCTCTCATGTTGGTAAGTAACAGACGTGTATAAACCCTATCATGTTCTCTGGCTAGTCAAACCGCACTTGCATACATCACATGATTAATGAATCGTAGTATTTAGCTCGTTGAGCAAGAGATTATACTGTCATGATAAAAATGTCTTAACATGAACATGCATTGAAATTACTGTTTTTGAACTTATATTATACTTGTAAGTGAGCTTCGGATGGAAGAGTCCTTGGGGACCCCTTGTCTTACTGAGATTTCTTTTTAGAGATCTCACCCCACGTTTGGGGCATATTTTCAGGTTCAGGTACCTCGGGGGTTGAGACCTCGGGCGGCAGGAGGCCGGAGCTTAGTTGACTGTTTATGCATGCTTATGTTGTTATGATTGGATGCTGACATGTTCTATATTTATCTATTATCATGTTATTTGAGTTGAGACTCTGTTGGGCTTTGTTGCCATATTTGGTGAGCATGGGGGTTGTCCATGCCACATTGATTGACTCTGTTTTATTTTAGAATTGAGTTGTATAATTGTATCAGGATTATGGTCCGGACTACGTGTTGTAGTTCCGTGATTTAGATACACACTTATTTATATTATGAGGTTATTCAGTGTAGATAGCTGTCTATTTGCAATTTACATACATGCACTATTTTGAAAAGTGATTAAGTAATCAACTTGGTTAATAATAATGACGTCATAATTAAAAGTAAAAAGTTAGTTCCGCATTTTAATTAAGCGCTGCTTAATACGATGATTTGATAACAAACCGAGTATACACGGGGTGTTACAGAAGTTATGTGAAAAATAAGTTATAAATATAACCTTCTTTATTTTTATATATTCAAAGTAGGAAAGTTGAAAAAAAAATTGTTTTATTCATCTCATTTATTCGTTTGCTGATTCAGTAGCGGAGCCACGTATTGGCTGGGGGTTGCCTGGGCCCGGGCTAAATTTTAACAAATTTTACTTATTATATATAATTATATAATTAATTATAATTTGGCCCGGATTAAAATTGTAATTTGGCCCGAGCTAAAATTAAAATATATTTGATGAAGGATTTGAGTAGGTTGTATCAAGTTATGTGTTCAATTTCAGCTTGTATATAATAAAATTTAAAAATATTTAATAAAGTTATCACTCTTTAACTTCTAAGGTCAGGCTCTCTCTCTCACCAGGTATTTGGTTTTTTTCTTCTTCCCGTTTTCAGCTTTTTTTCTCTGCCAATGGACCAAGCTAAGGCTCCTACCTTTAACCCAACTAGTTTTTAGGAATTTTTGTTCTTTCAATTTTTTTCCCCAATAAAAAGTTCATAGTGGAAAGGCACCACTTTAACGCTGATAATTTAGCACTGATGCCTCTCTTTCAATTTTTGTTCTATTCTCTGCCAATTTAGCGCTGATAAAGGCACCACTTTCCTCAAAGTGGGAGCAAAAACCTTAGCTGACTATTTATTATTTTATCATTTTATGGCACTGCCCTTTATCATCTTTGCTATATCTGTTTGTTCTTTTTGCCTGCGACCCTTGGACATTTTGAACAACATATTGGTCCCTACTAAGCAGTAACAAATTATATATAATGGATTCGATGATGCTAATTCTATTTTTTTTTAGGTGTGGGTTTTTTAAAGAGTATTATTTAGTTCTTTTTATTCAAATTTAAAGTTAGATCTACCACCAAGACACTTGAATAGAATATTATGTGAATGTAAATGTAATAAAATTTTCTCTTTTGTTTTTGTTTTGGGAGAATTAAATCATCTATTAGTGGACAATGGGCACATGTCAGATATTTTTATTTGCAAATCATCAGCCAAGTTACATGGAGATGGAAATATATAAACTCTTGGTTTAGCTTATTTGTACTTTTTAATATGAACTTGTTATGTTTTCTAGTGAGTTAATTATTGTTTAATTTTAATGATTCAGGTATGTGAAAAGGAAGCATCTTATTGATGTTACTGAAGTGTTTAGGGTACTTAATATGCTGAGAAGAAATTTCGGATAGCGAAAATTCTTTTTTACATAATGGTGCTCCTTATAATTGTCTTCAGGTTTGTCATATCCTTAAAATAGCATATGCTTATCTATTGTTTTTGGGTTTTACATTCTTACTATCTTCAGGAAGCATATTATTTTACAATTCTAAGTTTGAAGAATTAGATATTCAGGCCACTCTTCTAGGATTTTATTAAAAATGTGTACGAATGAGTTTTTCTTTATAGTATTTAATCTGAGTCATGTTAGTGAAATGTAATTTATATTTTTGTATTCAGTGTGTTTTCTGACAGAGGTGAGATTATTTAGTAAATAATTTAGATTTGTATGCTAGAATTTATAGTAAATTTTTTCCCTAATAAATTCATGTAATTACGATAAATATTTTGATATGTAAATTTTTTTGGCTCGGGCTAAATTTAGAACCTGGCTCCGCCACTGTGCTGATTTAAATTAAATAAATAAAAAATAAGAATAATTGTTATGAATCTACAGCTTTTCGTAAAGGGATGCATAATTTATAAAAAGGAAAAGTTCACCAATGCTCCTATGGTTTTTTCCATAATCACTTATGTCTCTGTGATTTTTTTATCACTTATACCCCTGTGATTTGCAAAAGGATATATTTTTTTATCACATATGCCTTGTGGTTTTTTATTTTTTACAAACCCCAGGGGCATATATGATAAAAAAAAATCACAGGGGCATAGATTATTCTGAAACAAACCCCAGGGGCATTTGTGAACTTTTCCCTTTATAAAAAGTTGAGAAAATAGGCGATCATGATCTTTTGGTAATAAGGGGAAAATAATGTATTAGAAAAAAACCGAAAATAAATAAGAAATAAAAGGGGGAAAAATATGTTTAGTAGCTCAATTGATGTATGAGAGCTGAGAAGACGTGGTAAGAGTATGTGTTCGATCTTTTCTAATACTATCTTTAGAAATGGTTAAAGCTTTAATGGTAGACTCATCCTGAATTCCGGATTAATCCATAATGAACCTTGGGATTACCGGGGGATAATATCCAAATACACACACACACACACATATATATATGAGCTTATGATTTCTCAAGCTGCTTGAGATAATCTTATCTCCGGCTACTAAATCATAACCGTACAAAGATGGATCAATGGTGATAAAGGAAGAGAAAGAAAAAGGGAATCATAACCATTCAAAGGTGAATCAATTAATATAAGAAAATAAATAAATAAAACGACGTAATTTTGGGATGCCAGAGATAAACTTATCTCAAGCTACTTGAGAAATGTTTTTCCCTATATATATATATATATATATATATATATATATATATATATATGAAAGTTATATTTACAAACTCTTACAAACTACACTATGTCTGACCGGTAATACTCATATGTATATGGAAATTACACTATGTCTGATCGATAATACTCTACTCAAGAGTATATATGCCTTGGATTTATAACCTCTATATTGTAAAAAGAGATAAGAACACTATTGTAAAACCCGACCCGATCCGGTCGGGTCGACCCGGGACCCGGTTAACCGTCATCAAACCGGTTCGGGTCAAGCATTGGACCGGTTATACATCGACCCGGTCAAACCCAGTCAAAACTCAGACAAAACCGGTGACCCGGTCGGGTCATGCATTTTTTTTTTTTAAAAAAAATTGTTTCGTCTTATAAAAAAAATGTAAAACTCACTTTAAAAACTTTTTGTAATTTTTTTTGCTAGTATACTCTTCTACAATGACTTCTTAGTTTCCAATACTGAAGCAATTTGTGGAATAATAAATTAGAGAATGTGACATATGTCATTTTAGTGTAGTTGAATTTGAAAAATATGAGTTCAATGTCATTGAGAGGTATGTTTATGAGGATTCTGAGTTGCAATTTAAATTGACATAGTAATAGCATGCATTTTTATTTATTTATGCTTCATGTTTTTAAGCCTATTTAGTGAACCTTGTTTAATTCATTTAAGATATGAAGAATATAATTGAATTTATATGTTCATATTTTTATATATCTATATATATCCGGGTCAACCGGTTCGACCAGTGACCCAGTACCCGGGTCGATGTCCGGGTCGGGTTTAACAACACTGGATAAGAATAATGTATACCGAAATAAAAATAATAAAACTTACATTAAATTTTAACCGTTGATTTTTGTATATTTAAGATTATTATTTATTAAAATTAATAAATAATTAATGATTGTAACTTAATAATAAATCACAATCGTTAAATTTATAAAAATTAAGTACGTATAAAATTTATTATTCTTATATAGTTATATCCTTCACCTTTTTCTTTTATTTCATTTCAGGAGAAGAAAAAGTAAAGTATAGAAATTGATTATACGATGTACCAAAAAAAAAAAAAAAAAAAAAGAAAAAAAGAAATTGATTATACAAATAAGTTATACTACTTCCCCTCGAGCAAATTCTTCTACTGCATGAACCCTTATTTCAGCTTTTATAATTATTATACAAATTTAATTATAGAACTGCAGGGGCATATAGGAAAATTGAAGATGGATTAAAGTTTTCGTTACAAATTAATTGATGTAAATGTATAAATCAAATTATAATTAATACGAACAACTTTTCATGGTGAATTTGAAAAGGTACCCGATGAATTGAAAAGGCACCTTCCAGAAGCTAACCCTAGCGCAAAACGGACTATGTTTCATCTCGTATATGTATATGTATATATAAATAGAGAGCGTGCTGGTTTTATCTTTGTGACACACAGATGGGAAAAGTTTCAGCTAATCGTTTCGATAACAGGGAGAGTTCCAGCAAAAGGCTTCGGATGGTTCATAATGAGCAACTGGAAGATGAAGAGGAAGAAGAAGTTAATAGTAAAGACCTTATTGGTTCTGCAACAAAGGCTTTGGATAGTTCTATTTGTGTGACGCTCTCTGACCCTGACGTGCTTGATTGCTCCATTTGTTATGAACCCTTGACTATTCCTGTCTTCCAGGTCTGTCCCTGCTTCTTTCCCATTATTTTGCTGGAAATTTCGTTTCTTTAATTATTTTTTGAATTACCCTGTAATAAACTTGTTAAGATTGTGCTTTGCATGAGCATGGGATAGGTAAATTCGTGTTATGGCAGCAAGAATTTCAAGCTTTTGTTTTTTGTTTTTATGATATATGGGAAAGTATTTCTGTTTTAAAAGCATTTCTGATTTTGTCTTAAAGCAGAATGCATGTTTAATAATGAAAGTAGCATAGCATATAAATTTGAATTTTAACCAAGAGTATGATATATATTAATTTGAAGTTTATATTATATTAATTTTAATGTAATTTTATATTTAAAAGTGATTATATTTTTATATTACTTAAGCAAAATCATTTTTTCTGAATTCACCTTTAAATATCATTTTTAAATATAAATTAAATCTTTTAATGTTTATTGTTTTATTAACATTATACTTTAAATATTGTCTTCTTGGATTGCTATTTGCTTTTTTTTTTAGTATTAATTGACAATAGCTTGATGATGTTTTCCACTGGCCAAGGTTTTTTTTCGGCAATACATCGTTATTTTTTTGTGTGAATGTGTTTCTTTTATGGGGAAAACTTTTATTTTTTTTAAGGATAAAATTTTGTATCATTTTAAATCATAATTGTTGATTTCCATCTTAAGACAAACATTTTTTATAAACACAAACATTTTTCCCTTCTTTTATAATTTCAGATCTTTTGACGGTAATACTCGCAAGCCTATTCAAAAGGAAAACAACTTTTTTTCTTAATTTATTTTGCTCTAGCTTATGATGCAAACTTTGGTTATAACATGACTTTATTAATTTTCATGTTGCAATTCAGTGTGAAAACGGTCACATTTCTTGCTCTATTTGCTGTTCTAAAATTGGGTACAAGTGTGGCATGTGCTCAATGCCCATTGGCTTCAACCGTTGCCGAGCCATTGAGAAAGTATTGGAATCTATTAAAATATCATGTCAGAATGCAAAGTATGGTTGCAAAGAGACATTAAGTTACAGTGACAAGAATAACCATGAAAGGAAATGCATACATGTACCATGTTCCTGTCCGATTTCAGGTTGTGACTTTGTTGCCTCATACAAGGAGTTATCCATTCACTTCAGCCATGAACATGGGGCTTCATCAACCCAATTTTCATACAATTACTCTTTCTATGTCTCATTGAAGTCTGATGATGATGAAATCATTATTCTTCAAGAGAAAACTGATGGCAAAATGTTTATTCTCAACCATAATGTTATGCGCCTGGGTAATGTAGTCAATATTAGCTGCATTGGGCCTAACTCTCATCATTATGATATCATAGCTAAGTCTTCGGGGTGCAGTTTGAAGTTAGAGGCTGCTACTAAGAACGTTCAAGGGTGCATTTTAGATGCTTGTCTCTCATCAGAGTTTCTTATGATTCCTTCGAATTATTTTGGTGGTTCTAAATATCCTCTCAAATTGGAAATTTGCATTAAGCGCAACTACAGTGCTACACATTATGAACGTCCATAGGTCTCAACAGGAGGAAATCATTCTTTGGTGTTGGTTAATTTCTTATTTGTTAGTGTGGTTTTTTTCATTCCTTGTGCACAGATTAAATGTGCTTTACTTGCACCATTAACATTAAGCTAGCAGACGAGTAATGTTGCCCTTTTGAAGAATGAAAATGAAATGGAAGCAACCATTAACATATAAGATTTGATTATTACTTTCGGTTGTAGGCCTGGCTAGCTTTTGGTTCTTTTTTTGCTTTCACAATTATTTGTGTCATGGTTCCAAAACTCTTCCTTTTGGTACTTATCGATAACGTTTTCCTTCTTGTTTTATCGGCTAGAAGGAGCTTTATTTCACTTTTCCACCTTCATATTATGTTTTTTCCAAATAAAATAAACCCAATTGTATGCTAGAGACAACACATTAATTATTTGAAATCTCATTCTCATATATACCCCAGTTACTGTGAATAAGGTGATAAATCAGAGACGTTGATAAGTTCACGACAAAAAATTGATAATATTATTAATGATTTATTCATCAACAATATTCCAATTCAATACACAAGAAGATATATAATTTTGAAACATGAGAAACAATACATGATGCACATTCCTACTACCGTCTAACTCATAATGACAATTCTGACTGCTATATAGACTAGCAATATATAAACCAATTTTGTTTGATCACCCATACACAACTTGTACAAGAGCCTCTCAAGGATAGCCTTCTCAATCTTGCAATGCTCTATAGAAAATTGATGACCATCCGGTTCCAATGCATGCACCATTGCGAAAATTATAGGGTATTACATGTGTAGGTACAACAGACTAATAGGAACGCACCCCGTCAACTGCTATTGTGTTGAAAAGGGGAAAAAAGTAATTTCATCGTCGCAGCCAGTGATTAATATGTCTGTGCAATATGAACAACCCTTGTTCTATTTTGTTGTAAAAACTTTTTTAATGAATGGAACTAATTTATCTACTACATGTTGAAGAATTGAAGATTGAAGCAAAGCAAGAAGGGTTAGATGCATATAGATTTTTTTGTAACACATTGGTTATATCACTATCTATCATCCTAAGTTGCATAACATGTATTTAATGCATTTCATATTAAAAAATAAGAATGTGTAAAGATATGACTTTAAAAGTTGAAAATTCGTAGTTTAATGAATTTCAATAGTTGCTCGATAATGTGCTCGATGTGCGAGCAAACTAGCAAGCTAAATAATTCAACTCGATAAAATGCTCGATGTAGCGAGCAAACTTGCAAGATGAATAATTCAGCTCAATGAAATACTTGATGTAGTGAGCATTCTAACGAGCAGGGTCGTGAATCATTTAAAACACATTTCTCTCTTCATTCTTTACAACACTTTTCAGAAATCACTCCCTCTCTATGAAAATATCTCTCTCATCATTTTTAGTATTCTTCAAGAATCAAAAGCCATCTTTGTGAGATTAAAGTCATTGAAGCTCCATTGTGTAAGAACTATAAGTGTGTGAGAGTGAATCTCTTGTTCCCATCATCTTTCTCCAAGAAAACTCCAAATCTTCATCAAGATTTTTGTTAATTTGAACCCTAAGCACTCGGTGTTCTTGTTGCTAAAATTTCTGCACAATTTTTGAGTCTTGTTATGAGATTTGTAACTTTGTTCATTGTTCTTCAATATTGGAAAATTGGAAGCATTTCTTTTGGAATCTAAATTCAAGAACCAATCTACATTTCTCTGTTCTTGTTGTTGAAATTTTGGATTCTTGTATAAGCAACTCAAATTAGATCCTTGTGAATCTCCATTGTGGTATATTCTAAGAAAACTCATTTTTCGCTGTTATTCTTTGATTAGAAGAATTATTCTAAAATTATGAGATATCTTGAGTAAGTATTTTGAATCTGATTTTGTGACTTCAATTATGTATATTGTTGAATCTTAGAATTCGTGATTTGTATACTGGTTTAATAATTTTATTGTGATATATCCAAGTTCTTTGTTGCATCAATTTTAGAGATTTTAATACATATATCCTTATCTTGATTTTCTGCATTTATCATATAATCTTGGAGCTTGGTTTGTGCTATATGTGATATATCTAGTGTGATAGGACACTGTAATTTTTTATTAATTCACTTGTGATAAATCTGAAAGTCTGTATTGGTTGTTAAAGTGAAGTGATTGTGTGTGTGAGAAATCTGTCCTAGGTATGTAAGTTGGCGACCCTTTGCTTGGTTTGAGATTGTTTCTCGATGCTTGAATCCTCAAGATTCCACTAGGGAGCGTGGAGTTCTTGTGTGAGAGGAGTTGGTGAACTCGTAAGAAAATTCTTGAAGCTTGGAGTAGTTTAAGCACTAAGAAAGTTTTTGGTAATTTGATTAATAGCGTGTGTGATGCGTGCTTCTAAAATGTTATTTTTCAATAAAATATCGCAGGTGCTTTAGTTTGGATGTAACATCCCTTTACACAAAGGGGTGTGAACCAAGATATATTATGTGTTTTTTTTTGTGATTTAATTTCTGAATTTTCTGTATAGAGACTGAAAGTAACATTATTTTTGGTTTATCAATTATGTTTTCTGTTATATTAAAAGTGCTGTAAAAATTGCCTGTTTACATTTTCCATAAGAAAGTTTGTTGTTGCATTTATAGAAAAATTACTCTGTATAAAAGGTCAAGTGGTATGTGTTCTATTAATATACATCTATAGAAATTAATAGGATATATAGGGACCTAAAGTAAAATAGTAAAATTGTTATATTTGTGTGACTGTAATCTGAAGTGAATTTGCAAATTAATTTGAGAAAAGTCAATCTAAACGTGTTGGTGTGCTGATTGAACTCAATAGTTCAACTTTGTCTAGACTGTACAAATTTAAAGATCTATTAGCAAAAAGTTTTTTCTGAAAAGTAAGAATACCTATTGACCCCCGAGGTGTTCCGCAAGTGTCTTGTGTAAAAAGTCATTTGCCCAACACTACACACACATAAAAGTGTATAGAGTCGATGCGGGACCATGTGAAGAAAAGAGAAAGAAAAAGAAAATATGCGACTCATACATTTTTATGTACGTGTAGGAGATAAACTTGTCTAGTACATAAACATTAATCCCTTGATAAATATCTGCAAACCAATTACACAAAGCATAAGTAAAATTCAAAAGTAAACTTAAGAGATATATATTCTCTATTTCGTGTCCACAAATCAGTAACTAGAAAAAGTTCAAGATTTGCATACCAGAGAGAAAGGCAGAAATCAGCAAGGAAATCACCAAGGAAGGATCAAGGTTGTGGTTCTTGAGCACTTATGGTGTAACCGAGAATGTCACTAGCAAGTTCAAGATTGAGAGGCTTGAAGGACAGACCCCTATGAGATGAATAACTTCAACTTTTTTTATGAGGTCAGATCCAACATGCAAGAACAAATAGAATCGGCTTGAACTGAAAGTGTGTGAAAACTGAATTGTATTGATCTAAAAACTCAACCACAAAATACAAGAAGGAAAAGAATATATATACATCAAGCTCCATAAACGAGGAGAACGAACTAGCTAACAAACTAACTGAAAAAGTAACACACTAAGGGGAGGTTTGGTACGTGGCTTTTGGTAGGATTTTCGGAAAACTGATTTTTTTTAAATTTTAAATTTTTAAATATTATCATAAACTGAATGTAAAAATCATATTTTTGAAAATCGAGATTCCGGACAAAAAAAAATTATCCTCTACCAAACGCCCCCTAACAAAAAATAAACTTAGCTAACCAGTTTTTAAGTTATGATGGGCTGGGCTTTTTTGAGCCCAAGTCTTCTAAGCCTAGTAACAACTTTTGCCCCACAGCTACTCCTATTTTGTATGCTCCCGTGGAGATCTACAAAGATGCTAATAGAACAAGAACGTTGAAAAAACAGAACAAGCACAAAAAGTCTTCAATCAAATTCAAGATCCAGACATAGTCTCATTGACATGTCTTCTCAAAAGATAAGGTTCTCCTCAATCATTATAAAAGGGAAGGAGATACATTCAACCTAAAAATAAATGTTACTTTAGATAATGATAACGAAACATCAAGTCTAATTTTAAGAACCAACCGTGATCGAAACCTAAAAAATCAGACAAGATAACGAAATCAATTTGAGCTTTATTGCTAAAACTACAATGTTTGAATCTCTTAAAATGGTTGAGATTCAAGATTGATTTTATTTCCACTCACTCCACTATTTGAATTGCTTGGAATGGTTTAGGGATGCTGACACCATTATTTCCACTCACTCCATTATTTCAATATATGTATATAGAGAGAGGTAGGATCCTTTGACACTGAGAGCCGTTAGATCAAAAAAGATCAACGATTCTGATTTGCAAGCATGTGACACTATTGATCTTTATTAATCTAACGGCTATCAGATTAGGTGTCAAAGAATCCTACCTCATATATATATATATATATATATATGGATTTAGTGAGTATACAGTGACTGGATGTAAAATTTGGTCCAGTGCACTAAGTTATCTCACGAGAACACAGTTATAGTAAAATTTGTTACTATGTTCCCTCGGGAGAACACCATTATAATATTTAGTGCACTAAGTTCTCGCGGGAGAACTTAGTGCACTGGACGGTCTAGTGACTGAATTTTCATTTTTCCATATATATATTCGTAATTCATCACTCATTAACTTTATCCAAAAATATGAGTGTGATCAGTAGAACTTTTCATGACACGATTGTTCCATTTGAAATGAAAGAGAGAAGGACCTACGGGAGGGAAGAATTGCATAACATGAAGAAGGAAGAAGAGCATAACATGAAGAAGAAAGGAGAAAGTTGAAGTATTAAATAAGATAGAAAAGTAAAAAACAAAAGGCTTCCAAAATAGAGATACACACAAAAATATTTAGGAAAAACTTCAAAAAAACTCCCTATGAATTTTCTCAATTATCACTTACCCACTCATAAATTTTTTGAATCATTTACATCCTTATTTAAATTTTGAGGAGGGGTAAATGATTATAAGCAAAATTATCGGAGAATTTATGAAGTTTTTCCAAAATACTTCAGAGCTCACACCTACTCAACAGTTACAGTTTTCAACTTTAAAACTTCACTAATCTTAATTTTATCAATTATTTAATCTTAATAAATTTATATTAAATCCTATATTAAATGAATAAATTTTATTAAGTTTAAAGTAAAATCTAAGCCATTAAATTTAAATTTTCATTTAATATAAGATTAAATATTACTTTAGTACTCCGTCCAAATTTGTGACCAAATTTGCGGAAAAAAAAATTTAAGCTCCCGTCCCATCTTAAATTCTCGTGGTCTCTCTCACAATCCAATTTTTGATTTTCCCGTTTTATCCCTGCTTTAATTTTTATTTTCCATTCTTATCCTCTCACATGTGAGTGGGAGTAGCTAGCAATTCTATGGGCCCAGACCATAACATTTTTTCTCCAAATCTGCATAGCTTAAGGGACAGGTGGCAGGATTTTGACTAAAACTAATTTTATTTAATCATATATCCATTATATTTTCAAATTTATATTAGTTTTTTTTCAACCGATTTATCTAATTAGTCTAAATTCTAGTACTGTCGGACCAATTGAATTGGGTGTCATTCCCAAGACTATGTTAGCCCCTTTTTTATTCTTTTAACTGGTTCATCAATTGCCTAACTAATACAATTTAAATTTATTGGGAGCTGCTCTTCCAAAATTATATTAGTCATTTAATGTGTTTTCTTAGCCATAACAAGTTAACAGCACAATGCGTTATTTCAAATTATATATTTTTCTGAAATATAGAATAACACAAAGCTCTAATTTAATTTTGTAAATTATTTTCACATATTACATAGTTTGTGTGTGAAATTTTTATTATTTATAAATATATATAAATATAATTAATAAGAATTATAATTTTTATGGAAACTAGCTCTAACGGTTATATTTTCTAAAAAAGAAAATAGTTATTTGACCGTTTAAAATTAATTGATTATGAAAAAAGTGTATTTGATCAATATAATATTTAGCCAGGCTGAAAAGGTATTAATTTATTATTATTATTATTACAAAAAATGATATATTAATTTTTTTAATAAATATTGCTTTCGTATATTATAGTACATATATTTCTCTTTCTATTATTATATAAGGAAAGGAATCAATGCATTTTTATTTTATTGTATATGAAAATGTTTTAAAAAGTGGATTATTATGGTAGATGTTAATAACAATATATAGTCATAATTACAAATAATTTAAAGATGTATGTAACTTCTTTAATTTGTGTTTGGTCAATAACAGTCATAATTACAACATGTGAACATAAGGTGAACAAGTATTTATTTAATATTACAATAATATAAAATGATAGTATTCTATTTTTGAATTAATATAACTACTATATATTACAATACATATTGCTGTTCCTTTTGTTATTTGAGGACAGGAACAAATAGTCATAAAATTACAAAGAGCGTTACTTTTTGTGAGATGGAGAAACCCCCGATTGATGAACAGGGAAATGTGGAAGGAACCAGTTCCAGCAGCACCATCAACACCACTCGGCGTCCGAGGAACCCGATTGAGGAATTGGAAATGCTTGGTTACTTGAGTGATACAGAAGAAGAAGAAGAAGCAGAATATGTGGAGAGAGAAGAAGAATTTGATGATGAAGAAGTAAATGAAGAGGATGATGGTGATGAAGCGGAAGAAGATATGAACAATGATGAGGCCAATGATGGTTTTGTTGTAGCAGGTGTTGATAGAAAAGTTGTTGTGCCAACTTTTGAACCAAAGGTTTCAGATAAGTCCATTCAAGCGACTCTTTATGACCCTGACGTGCTTGATTGCTACATCTGTTCTGAACCTTTGACTATTCCAGTTTTCCAGGTTTGTTTCCTTCATGCATATCAATTCTTAATCTTTTCTCTTTGAATTGTGAATATTTGGGGTCTTTTGTTGTTTATTTATGATGTGGTTAATGTTGGTGCTACTTTTATTGACTGCTTTGGAACTTGGGAAGGCGACTAGGGTTTGTGAATGGTGGGTAAAGTGGAAAGGTGATCGCGACATAAGGAAAACGTGTAGGCAGCCACATATTTGATTATCAGTAACCCTAGTGTCAATATTCTTAATATACTTAACTTATCTTGAATCTCAAAATGGGGCTATAATCAATGATCAATTTAGAACACCGTCAACTTTTCCATTTGTGCTCTACATAATAAAAGATCCATCAAGTTGTTAGCAACAACAATGTAAATTTTGTAGAAACTTTTCGTACATGCATATATTTGTACATCAGCTAATAAAAATTCTACGGAACCACCTGAACTATTATCCATTGAGCACCTCTAACAACCTATCTCCTAATATATTCTTGCATATATATTTTTGCATATGCATATAACACCTACACATAGTGCTATGGGTAATCATTCTTCTAAGTTGGGGCTCGTTTCTCATGTGCAGATTTCCTTAATTAACATGTAACATATCCCTGTGTTTCTAAATTAACCTTGTCATTAAGGTTAAGATCTTGATGCACATGACAAAGCTCATCCGAGGGTTCCCAAGTGTTGGATTGAGCGCTTACAACTAGCTCAAAAACTATAGCTTTTAGTTAGAGCGCAATTCTTTTAGTTAGAGCGCTTACAATCTGACTCTGACCCTACATTGGGACTTGCCAAGGCCGGATGCTGGCCTCACCAATACTCCCCCTAACTCCTGTCTTCTGTACAGTGTCATCACAGGTAATCGAACCCATGACCTTGGCTCTAATACCAAGTGTTGGTTCAAGCGCTTACCACTAGGCCAAAAGTTATAACTATTAATCAGCACGCAACTCTTTCTACTTACCTCTACCATCCCAAGCACCATGGTTTGATCTGACTATGACCCCATACTAGGACTTGCCAAGGCCGGATGTTGGCCTCACCAACACCAGGTACTGTCTTCTCGCATTGCGTGAGATCAATAAATAAGGTGTTGGTGCCAGTCACGTCCCTTAACCTGTATCATGCATAAAGCAACAACAGTAATAAAAGCTCAACAACTTTGTTATCATAAGTAAATGGAGGTAATTCAATAACGGAAGTGGATGATGAACCAAGAAAAGGCTTAAGGACGATAACATGAAACGTTGGGCTAATTTAACATCTGTCAAGAACCTTTAAACGATACGCAATATTGTTGATATCTCTCTATCGGGAAGCGGTAAAAAAAACTGCTTAGAGAGCTATTATTGTATCAATGAGCAACTAAAATTTTCTGATACATTGGAGTTTAATCAGCACCAAATCACCTTTCTTATAAATTCTTTCACGTATGTGTTTGTCTACCTGGTTCTTGATTTGGTTCTGAGCACGAGTTGAATTGAGTTTGAGGCTATGGAAAAGATCATTTTGATAGCAAAGAATGCATTCAATGGCCTGTCTTTGAACTAAGCCATGACAGTAATGGGAAATAAAGGTTAGTGGTTGGCGATTGAGGGTTTTGAAAGGATAAATTCAAATTGAGGAATGAATTGTAGTATTGTAGTGAAGTTTTGCCCATCTTAAGAAGGAGACTCATTTGAAGTTGTGATCATGGCAGAAGGCTCTCAGTATTGCTCAAGAGATTGATTCCTCACCTTAGTCTGGTTGTCAGATTTAAGATGATAAGTTGAACTTGTGTGAAGTTTTGTGCCACTCAACTTGAACAATTACCTTTAAAAATGACTTGAATATATGTTGTCTTTATTTGAAACCAAGGATTTTAATGACCATATCAACAAAAAGATTAGAGACTACACAAGCTATATATATATAGGAAGTTTGGGACCAAAAAGGTTTTACTTTGTTAGCCTATCAATAACAATTGAAATGCAAGTAAAACCACTTGAAATTGGTAAGCTAGTGATGAAGTCCAATGTTAAATCTTAAAACACGCCTTTAGGTATGGGAATGGGTATGATAAGGGTCCCATTGGAACTTATGTGGATGTCATAATGCATTGGTATATGGTACAAAGCAAAAAGGCAAAGCAACTTGTGTGGGGTACCAATGTGGCCTCCCATAGGAGTTGAATGAGATTCGAGTAAAATAAAGTGTTAGATTTGTATCTTTTCTTGTGAAACAAAATGTCACCCTTAAACATGGCATCAGGATATGCACAAGGGTCAGTTAAAAGCTATTGTTGAACCTTTATAAGGTCTGCATTAAGGTTATTTTCTTGTCAAAGAACAACTATATCGAAGATAGGTTCTAAGCACATGGCTAGGGACGAACTTTCCAGATCTTCATCAAATTGTCGTGAAAGGGCATCTTCTATGATATCAGTGCAACTAGATTTATACTCTATGGTAAAGCTATAATTAAGGAGTTTTGAAACATTCTTATGTTGTGGAGGTGTCTGAATTGTTTGAGACAACATATCCTTAATACTCTGGTGATTTGTTCAAATAATGAAAGTCTTTGACATTGCTTTTTCACATTTACATAATTTGGTTACTGATGAAGCCATTGCTGCATAATGGAGGATAAATCTTCGACAATAGCCCGTTAAACCAAGAACATCTAAAGTTGCTTGGCATTGGCTCGTTAGGGCCACTCTTCCATTGCAAAAATTTATTTGGGTCCACACTTACACCTTGAGGTTACAACATGTGACTGAGGTATTCAATCTCTCGAACCCCAAAGGCACACTATGAGAGTTTAACGAAGAAATAATGCTGAGAGAGACACTAGAGAATCATGCTAACATATTGTCCATGGAGACTAGGATCACTGTTACATATCATAATGTTATCGAAGAAGACAATGACAAATTTATGAAGGAATGGCATGAAAATGGTGTTCATGGCCCCTCGGAACGTTAGCATTAGTTAGCCCAAATGGCATAACCTAAAATTTGAAGTGTCTCTTGTGTATTCTAAAAACAATTTTATGCATATCATTTGGCAAGTTTTTAATCTAGTGATGCCCTGCACATAAATCCAGTTTAGTGAACATGGTGGCACCCAACAATTCATCTAACAATTTGGCAATCGTGCATTTTAGGAAGCAATATTTCATTGTTATGTAGTTTAGTGCATGGTAATATATGCACATTCTACAACTACCGTCTTGTTTTTTTGACAAGAAGCATCGATGATGAAAACGGGCTTGTAATAGGTTGGATGAATCCAGATTATAGTAGTTCAATAACCTCATTCTCAATCTTTTTCTAATGACGAAGGTATTGATAAGGTCTTACTGTGACAGGCTTGGAATCTTGTAGCAAATGAGTGGCATGATCCATTCCATGAAATGAAGGCAGCTCGCGTGGAACATGAAACAAAATATGACAGTCAATGACAACTTGCCAATTCTCCATCAAAATATTAGATTTTAAGGGATATGATCAACTTACACAGGTGTAAGACTAATAAATTTGTGTATACTTCTCATACATGCATACATCAGAGTACAAGACCCCTATATAAGCTTGTACATCAGCTAACCGAAAATACTCTATGTAACCACCAGAACTACTACCTGCTGAGTAGGGTTGCCAAAACGGGCCAACCCGGCTCAACCCGCGTTCAACCCGAAATAACGAGCCGGGTTAGGGTTGGCTCGAAAACGAGTCAGAAAACTCAACCCTTGGCTCGAAAAAATGGAAAATAAAATAAAATTCATTGATACTATAAATTCTAATTTTTTTTTCTAAATTATTAATTCATTCAATACAAAGACATTATACAGATAAACCATAGAAAATTTCGTTTGCATTTGGACTTGGATTTATTGGCAGTTGGCACCACATTCACACTGTCACACATACTATAAAAAAGGTCCTTAATGCACGGTTTTGGACTTATTGGCAGCTGCAGGATATTTTCGTTTGGGTCTTTGAAATTGGGATTTTAGGTTTTAGCTTTCCACTTTACCTCCATTAATTTTTATACTTTTATATTAAAAAAAAAACCATAACCCACGAGCCAACCCGTTTGACCCGTGGGTTGACTCGATTTTTTTGAGTTGAAACGAGTCGGGCTGACTCGAGTTACTAACTCATTTTTCCTAACCCAACCAGCTCATTTTAGCTGAGTTATGATGGGTTGGCTCATTTTTGCCAAGCCTACTGTTGAGCACCTCTAACAACCTATCTTTAAATATACGTTGGAGCATATATTTTTGCATGTGTATATTACATGTACATATGCACAAAGATGCGAACCGGAGTAGTGGTAAAACTGTTCTTTTATGACTGAAAGGTCAAAAATAGCCTCTTTGCAATTATGAAAGGGTAAAGCGCGTATAAGGATTACTTCCACCCTATATTCGCTAGTCGAATTTAACGGGAATAGTTTTTATATAAGAACTGAAGTGGAGGACATGAGAAATTTTTATTAGATTTTAACACCCCTCACTTGTTAGTCATTTGTTGATATTGACACTTGATGATATTTTATATTGGTCATGGTTTTTCTGGCGCTATTTTGTCCCATTTATTGTGTGTTTCTTTATTTTGTTGTTTGGCTTGATTCTTGTTCAGAGTTTTGAACATCTGACTACTAACTTATTTTTTTATGTTGATTATCTTATACAATGCAAAATCTAATATGATAGTTTATTTCTTTGTGATTGTGTCTTCAATTCAGTGCATCAATGGGCATATTGCTTGCTCCTCATGCTGTTCCAAACTTGTGCATAAGTGTCCCTTCTGCACAATGCCAATTGATTACAACCGTTGCCTTGCTATAGAGAAAGTACTAGTGTCACTTCAAACAGCATGCCAAAATGCAACATATGGTTGTGATGAGATAATAAGGTACAACAAGAAATATGAGCATGAGAAGACATGCATCTACGTACCATGTTCATGTCCACAACTAGGTTGCAACTTTGTTGCCATGTCAAACGACTTATATCTCCACTTCAAGGAAAATCATATGAATGAGGAAATTAAATCATTTAAATATGATGAATTTTTCTCTGTCTTGCTAAGCCGTAATGAGGACACCATTGTTCTTCAAGCGCAAACTGATGGCAAACTGTTTGTACTAAAAAATAAGGTATTTGAGAATCTGGGTAATGCAGTGACTATTTGTCACATTGGACCTAATTCACTATACCCGGTTTCTCATTATGAAATTAAAACAAAGTCTGAGGTGGAAAACAAATTTCTACACTACCGTTCTTCTGCCAAAAACATTCAAGGCCGCACATTTGTCATATCTTCATCAACAAAGTTTCTTTTGATTCCATTGGAATTTTTCAATTCTAATGGACAACTCGTACTGGAAATTCGCATAAGTTTATCTCACTTAAAGTTGAAGGCAGTCCATTTGTGTTAGTGGTTTACATTTGTATTGGATATGGAAATTATTTCTGGGGTTGGTTCCTTTATGCATTGCTTCTGTTAGAGTGGATTTGTATTTTACTTTAATTTTCTAGTTACTAAAACTGTGTATGCTTTCGAGTTAGTTTGAACTGTTGTTATTGTGTGTACTCTCGAGTTAGTGGAAAGGTGTATCTTTCCTGCATGTTGAAGATTTTATATATGTGTAATTGCTCCTAGTTTAATGGAACATTTGAGTTATTGGAATGTTTTGTCTGCACAAGTATTAAAAAAAATGCCAATTCAATTTTATTATTACTAATTATTTCATTTTAAGGACTAAATTGAGTTTCCAAATTAATAGATTTTAGGGCATATTTGAATTTTTATAATCAGTATTGAATACTAAATGCTGAAAACTGTAATCTCAGTTTTTTAATTGCTTAAAATATATTAAAACTCTAAGCATTTACTACGATTAAAAAATTGTAGGCTTATAATAAATAAGGTAAAAAAATGATTATAAACATTTAATTATTTAAGCAAAGGTAATTTTTTTAAATATATTCAGCAGCTATTCATGTTAAATATGTACACTATTAATTCAGTTTTAATGTAAAATTGTTTACTTGGCATTAATTTTTTTTTTTTGAAGACCTACTTGGCATTAACTTTATGTTAGCAAACTGCATTCCCCTTTTTTTTTTTTGGAAATATCAAACTGCATTCCCTTAATAAATAATAAATTGCGATATGACTATTTGTTGTTTCCGATGATGCTGTTGCTGCAGAGCTTCATGGAACTTTGTGTCACAAGTGAGGGATTCCAGGCCTCGTGTCCCGAGCGAACGATATCTCTGCTGTTAATATACAGATTATAATTAGGGGCGTTGACGAGTCGAGCCAAGCTGAGCTGAGCTTTGATCTTAACGGGCTGAGCCTGTGTTTAAATATATCAGACTGACCTTAGCCTGTTATCTGTTACGAATATAATATCAGCCTGCGGCCTGACTCATTTACAAAAAATAAAAGCCTTGTTTAGCCGGTTTAAAAAAAAAAATAAGACAACAAAAATTTATCCAAAGAAAATATATAATCAACAGCACTAGTAATTCCGTAAATATTCATAAATTTAATGTATATCCAAATAGCATAATATAAAACAAAATCATTTAAAAAGTCTGTTTAATTAATAAAATAGGATGAAATGAATTGAGAAGAGAGAGAGGGCTATCACAAGTAATATAAAAAATAAAAAAATAAATAAAAAAATAATATATCAGGCAAGCCTGAGAGGCTCTAAGGCCGAGCTTTTGAATTGGAGCCTGATGCTTTTTTATTAAACGAGTTTTTATACAAGTCCAAGTCTGAGTCCAACAATCAATTTTAGACATGTAAGCCCAGGTCTTCACGAGCCGAGCCAAAGGCCCTGTAAGGTCCTGACTCGTTTAGCACCCCTAATTACAATATATTCAGTAATATTGAATATAAATTCTAAGAATCCATAACTGTTTTGAATTTCCATGCTATTTTTTTTCAATTAAAAAATTACGTCGAAAACCATTAAAATTCATTCTTCAATTTTTGATGGAATATTATTTATGTCGAAAACATCAACAGAATACGTTTTTCGTCGAATTTTCCGTCATTAATTTTGATAAAATATTCTCCGTCAAAAATTAAAACTTTTCTAATAATATTATGAGAATCCATAAAGAAAAAATCACGTATGGCACAAAAATAAGTAATTTTTTTTTATAAAGTTAATGATTACGAAAAAGTTTTAAAAAGTGGCTTATTAATGTAGATGTTAATAAGCTACTATATATATAGATATCTAAACCATTCTCAAAATGAGCCACGTTTTGTGTATATCCCGCATAGTAATACATATATAGCTATTTCATTTATGAATTAATATAACTATTACATATTTTAGAACTCAGATCCACCCTACAGTACTGTGAATGAATAAAATTAATGTGAGTGTCTCACTCACATTAATTTTATCAATTATTATTAAATCTCGACTGAAATGAATAAATTTAATTTAGTTTTAAAAAAGATGTTACATAGTGTGAAGAGCAAAGGAGATGGTCGCTTTCCACATTTTTGACGAAATAAACAAATATTGGCATCGTAAAGCTGTGTAACATATATGTCACAAAAGAACCAAATATTCGTAACTCTTACTCATCAACTTTCTCCAAAAAAAGTGAACATAATACTTTTTATGACATGATTGTTCTCTTTGAAGAGAAAGATAAAAGGACCTCAGTGAGAGGGAGGGAGGGAGGGAGGGGAAGAAGCTATGTAGCACCGATACGACACGCGACACGTGACACGTGACACGACACGACACGATACTCCGACACGTCAATCTTAAAAAATTATGGATTTCGACACGTTGGGACACGTTTTAATATTAAATAATATTTTTAATTTATATAGTGTATATTTCATTTAATATTTAATAATTTAACAAAAAAATGAAACTAAATTAATAATACCCATCAACACGTTATAAAGATGGAAATTTTAATAAAAAAAATAAGAACTGGGATGAGAGAGATATATAATATCAGATAGAGAGATCAAATCATATTAGAGAGAGATACAACAATAGCGTGATGGGAATTGACAACAATGATGCTGAGATGATCTCTTATCTACTTAAGGGAAAAAAAGACAAAAAGATAAAATTGATATGATCAGGTGGAAGCTTTATTAATATATTTTAACTTTTTAGAAAAAATAAATTCTTTAAAAAAAATAAAAAATAAAAAATAAAAAAAATTACGAAAATGCCATTTGACCGTGTCGGACACGGTCAAATTCGCGTGTCGGAATAGTCAACGTGTCGGAAAAAGTCAACCGCGTGTCCGACACCGTGTCGGAGCGTGTCGCCGTGTCGGAGCGTGTCGGACCCGACTCTTCCTGTTTTTACAAGTGTCCGTGCTTCCTCGGGAAGAAGTGCATCACATGAAGAAGAGAAGAGAAAGTTGAAGCATTAAAGAGAGACAAATAAAAAACAAAAAAGGCTTCCAAAATAGAGATACATACAAAAATAGTTATTGTTTTGAACTTCAAAGCTTGACTCATCTTAATTTTATCAATTATTTAAACTTAATAAATTAATATTAAATCTTATATTGAATGAATAAATTTTATTAACTATAAAGTAAAATGAAAATCATTGAATTTAAAATATTCATTTATTATAATATTAAATATTAATTTATGAATTTTAAAAAATTAAAAAAATGAAGTTAATTATTAAATTTTGTTTGTTAATTTTGAGAAAATTAAAGTTTGGAAAATTTATGAAAAATTCAAAATAGTTAATTTATTACCAAAACTAAAGAATTGCATTATATATATGAGTAATTAATTTGATTCCTTCGAACTCTAATTATCTATGAGTACACGAATTCGAACTTATCTATTGAATAAAAATAAAATGAAAAATCATTAATTTTTTTTAATTAAAAAGCAAATATAAGTACATTTAAATAGAATATTCATATATTAAATTATTTAAAATATTTATTTTATTAACTTTATTCCAACCGACTTTATCGCCTTCCCATATTTTATTAACTTTATTTCAACCGACTTTATCGCCTTCCCATTGATTGAGGTAAGAGTTAAAAATATAGAACCTATTTTAATTCTTAAAAAGAATATTTATATTAGTCCTTTTGGAAGGATTAATAATTTTTTTTTTTAAATTTCAGAGAGATCACAAGTTAATTAATTTATAATCTTTAACACCAGCTTTGAATCCAACACTTGCTTGCCTTCGTATATTAATACTCTTAATACATGTATTTAATTATTCCGAGAATCAATTTTTTATTTATAAAAAATAAAAATAAGTAATATCAAATTTAGCTAATCGAGGTAATATAATATTGTTTTTTTTACCATTCTTTTTCTATTTCTTTAATAAAATGTTAATTATCGACACGCGCCTGTTGAGGTCAACATGTTTCTTCATGTAGGCCTTTGTATTAGGGGTGTTCGCAGTCTGGATTGGATCGATTTTGAAAGCAAAAATTATATGATTCAATTCCTTCGGTTTGTTCATGTAATTATCCATTCGGTTTGGATTTTTTTCAAATTTGATCCGATCCAACCCAATTTTTTCGATTTGGATTGGATCGATTTTTAATTTTTTTAAAATCCTAAAATTTGTTTAATGATTATTGTGCAAATAACATCCTTTGTATATATTGGCTTTGTAAATTTATTTATTTTTAAAATACAAAAGCATCAATAGACGATAATATGGTTTTTTTTTGACAATAAGATATTAAGCTCTACACAGATAAAATTTTGTTGATAAGATGCTACTAGGTTTTTTCTAGGGTTTAGTTGATAGGTTAATAGGTCTTGGTTTAAAAATTTTTGGGTTATGATTGGGGAAAGACTCAAGTAGTTAGAGGAAAATTAATATATTGGATTGGTTTGGATTGGATCGATTTTCATCCACCCATCCGAAAACCGATCCAATCCAATTAAAATTTGCGTTTTTTTTTTATTTTCGATTTTTCGATTTTCAGTTTATTTGATTTTCGATCACCGCGGTTTAAATCGATTTGGATCGGTTGATGAACACCCCTATCATCCACCACACGAGAATGTATTTTCATATAATAGATGCCAGATTTTTGTAAAATTCTTGTACTACAACAACTTCATTATAATCTGTGCACATTTGTACCCCATTGGCATTTACACCTTCGTGTGTTTGGATTATAGATCCAAAAACCTTTGAAATTTTATTGCGTCTTTATGATTTGGCCAATCATCATCAACAAATTTATCTTTAAGATCCTCGATTTATTTCATCATTTCATTTTATGCAAAAATATTGTCGACAACTATATCTTTACGGTTCCAACTTTTTCTTGTAATGACATAACCAATAGAGATATCTTCATTTTCATTTATTTTCAGGTACCTGAACCTCCCTTGAGGTTTGATCAAAGTTACGTCTTTATGTCTCCATAT